GGGGGGGGGGGGGGACAAAACACTTGAGGTTCTGCTGTAGGAACCAGTGGGAATTCATAGAAGTCCCTTGTTCCCTCATTTGTCACCAAAGGGGCACAAAAGATAAATTAATCTGATAGCTGCTCCTCATCTAATCCAGAAAAAAAGAGATTTTAAAAAAAGGGGGAGGGGCTTTTTGTCTGTTTGTTTTTTAAGTGTGAAAAAAAATTAAATGTTCCTATAACAAACATTTGAATTAACAGTAGAACGTGTGCAGATCTATATTCATCCATGCATATGTGTATGCATGTTTGCAGTCTTACATTCCTAAGCAGGCACAGTCTAATAGGCACAAAAGCCTAGCTTTTTCTGCTTACCCTCTAAATATTATTTTGTTATGTTAAAATAGATAATATACTGCTTCTCAATTATTTGTTTTAGACTAAAATTATATATAAAGTCCCTACAGAAGGCAACATTAATAAAAACATGAAATTATTCATTTTAAAAAAATTAGCAAGAAATAGAGCACTGTGTTTATATCAATCAGTGGGAACATGTATTACTAAAGCTGCTTAGAAGCCTTAGTGAAAAAATAGTTTCCAGAAGGCCAAAGGAACCACGAGCACCATCCCCTCAGAGTCCCCTTTTAAATATTCCTTTAAAAGCATGTCTGCATTTCCTCTCTTAATTGTTTCTAGGATTCTTCTAAGCAGCCTAGGAACATACAGTATAAAGGATGATGCCCAGAGCAATTTCAAACATGTATTTTTGTTTTTATTTATTTATTTATTTATTTATTACAGTTGCTTGGAGGTTCCTAATGAATTCTAGACTAGGCTTGCAAGCAACTACAGAAAAATCTGGAGGAAACACCTGTAAGGATTTTCTTTTAATGCCATCAAGTGACTCCTGGCAACTACATGGACAAGTCCATGGAATTTTTCTTGGCAACATTTTTCAGAAGCAGTTTGCCCTTGCCTTTATCCTAGGGCAGAGAGAGAAAGACAGGCCCAAAGTCACCCAGCTGGCTTCTTGCCTAAGGCAAGACTATAATTCACGTCCCCCAGTAGCTAGCCTAGTGCACCAAACTGGCTCTCAGGGAATTGAGTCAAAGTGTAGTCTAGGCAGTTGTGGTTGAAGGCAGGTAAAAGGCTGGGGATCACAGCAGTTCTAAGAATCCAGAGAACATGAAGTAGGGCATGGAATAGCAGGGTACTGTTAAAAATACATTCTTTTGTTCTTCCACTAATCTTCTGTTTTTTTCATTTGTTGCAGGTATGGATGCAAGAGGAAGTTGTGCAGGGGTCTTAAATTGCCTCTCCAGCCTGATGCCAATAACTTTGCTCTTGATTTTCAATGCAATATTGTGATGACATATTTTTAGATAGTGCAAGGCCAGGTGTATCATTTACTTTAAAGTGCTTTTTAAGACAACCATTACAAAACCAACAGGAATAGTAGGTGGGAATTATGCATGCATTTACTACCAGTCTGCATTTAAACGTTTTTTATCGTTTCTGATATTTCATTCTAAACAAATAAAGACCATGTCCATCTCAAACAATTCCTTCTAAAGGAATATAAAATGCCTTAAGATTTAATGAACCAAAGGACTTTTTACATTACATATTTCTGATGTGACAAAAATAAGAAGATGAGCATTGGAAAAAGCTTTGAGAGTCTTTATGTTTTCCAAGTAACAAGAAATTATTTTAACGTTATCTGAAATGAAACCAATCTAGTATATGGCATTAATTACAAATTATATTTCACCACTGTTTGATGAAAAACCTTGAATAATTTTCTAAAAGCCTCTCAGTGCTAAACTTCATTTGAATAAATGATATCTGTGTTTATATACATGTAAATTATACATGTTTACTTTTGTTGTAAATAGTTAAATATCAAAAAAGAAAAAAAATAACCTGGTTTACTAAAAAGCTCATCATGCTTCCATTTATTGTTGTTGTTGTTGTTGCCTCATTTACATTAATGTTTAGTAGCTTAGGGTTTCATTTTCGTTTGTTTGCTTTAATTGCAGAGGCAGTGTTCAAGGAGGCAGCATTCTTCTCGGGTCTAGACTGATGCAATCTCCTAGAATGTCCTAGTTGAAAATGTATTTGTACAGCTTCAAAATTTAAATATGGAAGGTCCCAGGATTAGTTTTTACACTAGAGCACTGAATGATGCCTTATCTTTTACTGGTCTTTCCACCCACATAAGCAAGGCATTGTGCTTCTTTTTGGTTCAAAACCATATTAATCCATGAAGGTGTTTCAGAAGCCTTGCATTCGGTACAACAAAACTATGGAACTTGCAACTATGTTCATCCATGCAGCTATCATAGTATCCAATTCTAATTAGGCACTTAACATGTAGAATCTTCTTGATATACCAAACTGTAAAGCAGTGTTGTCCAAACTTGGCCACTTTAAGATGAGTGGACCTCAACT